AAAAGCGAGAGCAATTGCATGTAAAAAGTCTCTCACACTCCTGCGGTAGAATCGTGTAAACTCGCCTGTAAACGGGCGCTGTTCATCTTCTATAAAAGTATATAGAAATTCCCAGCCTCTCCTGCGGCACAAGCGGGCACACTCGCCTGTCAACGGGCCCTACTCAGCAGCACAGCTCTCTCCTGTCGATTGTGGGAGAAAAAAAGCGGAAGATGCCACGTGTAAACATTTCTGGCCACCCCTGCGGTAGAAGCGTAAACTCGCCTGTGAACGGGCACTGCCCACCTCCACGGCTATACTGTCCTATCGATAGTGGAAACAAAAAGCAGGAGCAATTGCGTGTGAAAATTCCCGGCTTCTCCTGCGGAAGAAGCGGGCAAACTCGCCTGTCAACGCGCCTTACACATTAGCATAGTTCTCTCCTATCCATACAGAAAACAAAAAGCGGGAGCAATTGCATGTCAAAAGTATCTCTCACTCCGGCGTTAGAAGCTTGCAAACTCGCCTGTCAACGGTCCCTACTTATCAGCACAGTTCTCTCATATCTATAGTGCGACAAAAAAACCGGGAGCTCTCGCGTGTGGAAAGTCCCTCTCACACCTACATTAGAAGCGGGCAAACTCGCCTGACAACTGACACTGTTTACCTTGTACTGTCAACGGTCCCTACTCATCGGCACCTCTCACATCTATAGTGGGAGAAAAAAGCGGGAGATTCTGCGTGTAAAAATGTCCCTCTAACTCCTTCGTTAGAAGCGTGCAAACTCGCCTCTATCTAACGGGCGCTCTTCGTCTTCTACAAAAGTATAAAGAAAATCCCGGCCTCTCCTGCGGCACAAGCGGGCCCTACTCATCAGCGCAGTTCCCTCTTATCGATAGTGCGAACAGAAAGCGGCAGATCCAGCGTGTAAAAAGTCCCTTTCACTTCTGGGGTAGAATAGTGCAAACTCGCCTCTCAACTGATACTGTTTACCTGCACAGCCATGCCCTCCTATCGATAGTGGAAACAACAAGCAGGATCAATGGCGTGTAAGCGTACAAACTCGCCTGTGTACGTACACTGTTTATCAGTTCTCTCCTATCGATAGCGGAAGCACTCGCGAGTAAAATGACCTGACCTCTCCTGTGGCAAACGCGTGCAAACTCGCCGTATGCTCGCGAACGGACGCACTGTGAACCTCCAGTCGGTAGTGTAAGAGCCGACTGAGGTGGCTGAGAGCATTAATTGATGTAATTTCAGTGTTTTGTCCAGGAAGTCCTAAGGTTCTAGTCCCAAATGTGGCAGGATTTTGACATTAACTAGGTCGAATTCAGCTGTTGTGTGGAAGACAACTGGGGCGGCCGGCTATTCTGATCAATAGTGTTCAGTCGTTTCGATCAATACCACGCGAATGCCGGAGCAGTATCCTAACAAACAGTCCAAAACCCGCGCTCGATTTTTCCTTCCTCTTCCTTGACCTATTCTTATGCCATACTTTAACAAACTGACGCAGGTCTGGAGTCCAGTTGAATGCTTAGAACTTTTCCTGACTGAGGTGGTGTCCTACCGGTGGGGAGATACCCAGATGAGGAAAACGCCACAAGTCGGCATGTAAGTCGATGTCATATCTCATCAACCAGCTGGTAGAACGCCGATACCTCTCGTGATAAAACATACACTAAACTTACGGAACTAATTACAATACCGGTTGACGTCGCGCTCGAAAATTATCAGTGAAAGGGGGGGGTAGTGCAAGCGACACTCAGCGGCCTCCCCTAGATTAGAAACGTACAAACTCGCGTGTTTCAATCCATCATGCGAAGCGTGCAAATGCCACTGTTCTGTACTCGAAGAGAACTAAGTAAATAGCATGAGGTGAATCCGCGTGTAAACGATCCTGACCTCTTTGGTGACGTAAGCGTGCAAACTCTCGTAGGTAGTGTGATCCAAACTCGCGCGTAAACTATGGTTTTATTTAACCACAAACACTAACATGCCAGTTGAATGATATACATAATATTTAGTTATAAACAATTGACTCTGTAATTCTGTACAGCTCGAAATAATTATCACATACATGTAGAAATAACGCGGCGACCGTTCGAACAGTTGACATATGCAAACTCTCCAATCCACGGGTACTATTTAACTGCAGAGTTTTCTTCAATACGTAGTCTTAGGCAAACTCACGTGTAAAGGATTGCGTCATCTTCCGCAAACGAATCATGCAAAATCGCTTCAGATCGATTTCTTTATTCACGTGTGCTATTCTCCCTGGTCGATAGTGCGAGGAAAACTGACGTGTGAATTGTCCCGTTCACTCATCCGACAGAAACGTGCAAACTGTTCTGTGATCAAACACTATTCATCTACACAGTCATTCCCTCCTACCGATAGCCGAAGCAAAAAGCAGAAGCACTCGCATATAAAAAGTCGAGGTCTCTCCTGCGGCAGAATCATGCAATATTTAATGTCACTGGGCAACTGCACCGTTCTGCCCAGCCGGTGAGTGAGACAAATTCGCATGTAAAGATACTCGGCCTATCCTGCGGCAGAAGCTTCCAAACTCTCCTACGAACAGGCATTGATTCAACTATAGGTTCGATAGGTAATAAGAAAAAAAGGTGTGCTTTAAAAATCAGAAACGTTATGTAGTAACACACAGCAAGAATGAAGAAGCCCTTGCGACAAAAATAAGACGAACTACCAGAAACTGAGAAAGCTCATTGCAAAAATTATATTCTTATCATTAACTACTGACACATAGAAGTGAAAATCATAAGTTATTTTAGGTTGAGTCAGCAACGCAGAGCTGTGATCCGAATGGAAGTAATAAAAATGCAAAAAGGAAATGAAGTATAAGAGGTGTAAAATAATATAATACGAAGAGTCGACTTAATTATTGGTAATGTAGTGTGAGACTTACGATGTCCAGACGCAAAGAAGCAAACCTGCGTATTAACACGCTCTTTAATCAACGACGTTTAAAGCCACGGCGTTGAAAACGAGGCAGTGTTTAAAGAGACAGCAAATGCCAAAAGGTTCACCCACGGCAAACCCTGTTACCCTGAACCCAGCAAAACGAGCTCAAGGTGGCAACGAATGTCGTGAGACATCAAAGAGCACCAGCTCCAATAACCAGTGAACGCTGTAATTACGAAGCAGAGGCGCGAAGAAACAAAAAAACTATGCGTCACTCGACCGTTGTATAGAGGCGATGTCGGCGATGGTGTAACGGTTAGCGTACCGGACTGTTGTACCCAAGTTTGAGGGTTCAAAGTTGCGGGATTTTTAAGGGCGAAAAAATCCTTCGTACGTCTTCCTTCGGAGGGGAAGTAAAGCCGGCTGTCCCATGTTAGTAGATTTACTTGCATGAAAAAGATCCTCAAGCCTAAATGACCTGAGACTCTGAGCTAAATTCAAATCGCCTGTTTCTCGCCCAAGAAATACCTCCTTTCTCTCCAAGTTGGTGAAAGGAGCGTAGCGAAATTTGCGTGGTCAGACGGAAGAGCGGGCCTGATGGCCCGAGTCTCGCCACGTCAAATAAGGCAAATTCAATTCAATTCAATAGTTGTTAGGTAGTAGAAAATTGTAGTAAATACCATGCATTAAGTACAGAACAACATGGGGCTCAAGCAGAATTGCAAGTATCAGTAAGCACAAATTAATATGCACATACCCTTCTACGTATTTTGAGCTAACATCAGGGCATAACAAATAAACAATTTAATTGGCACAGAAGCTCGATAAAAAACAACGCAATTGAATCAATAATCGTGAACAGAACTCGGCGGAAATTACTGCGTTGTGAAACTACAAGTCACGCACTACCAACGGTACAAGCAAGAAAAACCAATGGCTGATCGAACTAGTGTCGGTAGGAAGTGCAGTAAAAATCATTCACCCGCGGAGAACATAAAAATATAACGGTAGCGGTCATGTGTTTAATAGTGACTGCTAATACGGTACGTTTTCAACATTGACGAGTAATAGTAGATAGAGTTATTACTGCTGTCAACTGCGTACATGGTTGCTAAAACGGATATACAACTGAAGAAGAGAATATATAATTGAAGGAAGGATTATAACTGAAAGCGAGAGAGAACAACATATTACGAAAACAATAATTATCATAAATGAACAGAAAGAAGCAAAAAAATCCGTGGAAAACAAATTACTTAAATTGTCAGAACATGTTCAACCCTGAGCGAAGGTAAGTCAAGATGAACTGTCATGCTAGTCATTACATTGTGTGTAATTATCATTCAGAAGAATACGAGCAAGCTCCATGAAGTTAAAGCACTAGAAAACATCACCGTGCATCAGTGAGTGCCTAATCTTGCATAGCCGGAACCTCACCACCAAAAAAATCACCAGCATTTGCAATCACCAACAGTGCGCATACGGCAACGGAATAAACACCACACGTGTACAGCACAGTCATAAAAACGCCATGTGAGAATAACTGAACAGGCGAGTCCTGTCATCTCAGTTAATATCTATCATTGCGCACTGTTAACACATGAAATCGGACCACGTATTTCCGAGAACGAAAATTTCACACGGCAAAAATCATCTTAAACGAGCTAAAATCTGTCAACAGACATTGTCTACGAGAATGGTGAGTCACATACGTTGTGTATTGATATCACGTGTAAACGCGCACGGTTTAAAGCATTACCTTACTCTTGACGTCAGCTGGTTTTGTAGATTCGTGAGTAGAACAAAGTAATGAATGCACGCGCACACCTTCCGGCAAACCGGTAACGGCAATGAATAAGCAGCTATCGTCCCAGGAATTAGTGTCAACGGTTGAAAAAATCGTTTAGCACTTCTAAAAAGATACTGCGAATTTTTCAAAGTAGCACATTAAATCCCACATCTCCTACAGCATTAATTCAGATTTGAGCACAACCGTCATGCGGATAAGCGGGTCAATCTTAAAGCTGTACACAAGGACACTACGATCAGCGCATTTGAACCCTTATTATGTTGAGCACCACAACAGCGATCAGCACAAAACATGAAACGATGCATCGTAAATCACATTAATCAGCTAACATCTCAACTAAATTCACTAGATAAATCACCATGAATCACAACTGTATTCTTACTACACAAACCGATTAACGCGTATCCATGCTTTTTGTGCACAAATATTGCGATGCCAATGTTGGGATGGACAAAATAATCAAAACAAAAATAAATGCAGCGGGTAAGATCATAATAAAATATCAGACTCTTGTAATTGAATAAAACACTATGTAGCTTTAAGGAAACACAAAATCACTACACGAGTGTCCAACACTGATTTCAGCACTGTCATACGTTGAGATATTCATACTGCAAAATATACGGCTTACATAACTTTACCTTCTAGTATAATAATAGAACGTTGAAGAAACAAACGGTTCGTAACAAAATCATTGCATGAATGATTGACGCTGATTACACCGCTGTCAACTAGCTAGAGACTTAACTTGCAAAATACCGCAAATGCAACTACACTTACTAATAAACTTAGAGCACACTGCACACCGCTTATCCGCATGACGGTAGAGCACGACGAAGGTTCGCAACTTAATCGCTGCACGAACGAACAACAGTAGTTGTCCCACTGTCAGTCGCCGAATCATTGAATCTGCTGGAAACACGCATTATCTAACAATGTGTCGAAGAAGCAAAGACACAGTAAAATCACCAGACAACGAGCGACACGAATACGTCACTATCAATCAATAAAAGATTTCATCTGATTTAATAGCTAATATGTCTGTCCTAGAACGTCGACGAACGAAGGGTTCGCAATAATGTCAGAGACCCTGATTACGACATTGTGAACTATTGGGAGACTCCAGCTGGACCAACCCCTAACACTATTTAGGCAACTAAACCTTCCAGTATAATGCTAAAGAGTTCAAGAATCAGACAGTTCACAACAATTTCTCAGACAGTGACAGACATTTATTATACCACTATCAAACATCCGGAGAGCAACCTGCGTTAAATAGCACAGTTGTTAACACTAGTGTATCCAAGAAGCAAAGAGCATACAACAACATGACTTCATGAATGAGTGACGCTGCTTACACCACTCTCAAACTTCCAGAGATTTAATGTGACGAAAATAACGCATTTGCTAATACTGGTGTCCAAGAAGCAAAGAGTTCGAAACAAAATCACTACCCGAACTTCCCGAAATCACTAATCGAATCACTACCCGAACGACTGACATTGAAAGTGGCTGTATGAAACACAGAAATTTAAGAAATGCCGCAATAACTAGTGCTCGATCGCCAAAGCAGCAAAGAGTAGGTAACATTATTACACGAAAGATTGACAGTGATTATGGTAATGTCTAACACCGAGAGATTAAACAACCGCAAAATAACGGACTCACTAGTGCTAGATCGTCGAACAAGCCCTGAATTCGCAATAAAAATACCACGTGAACGAGACATTGTCAACCTTTAAGGCTTCTGCCACTGTCAACCTCCGGAGATTCAATGTACGCAAAATATCAAATCGCTAACACTCAAGTATCGGAAAAACAAAACACTTCGTAACAAAATTTCTACACGACCGACCGACATTGATTACAGCTCTATCAAACACAGAGATACTAAATACGGGAAATACTGCGATCACTAGTGGTAGATCGTAGAAGTAGTCAAGGGATCGCATCTACATCTCTACACAAACGACCAACTGTGTCAAACACCGAGAGATTTAACACGCGCGAAATACCGTAAACACTGGTGCTATACCGTCGAACTAGCACTGAATTCGCAATAAAATGACCACACAAACTGTCGATGAGCGAGCACATCTCACTGGGCGGAGCAAACCCGTGCTCCCTGGCTTACCTCGTGTCAGCGACTCTCCTTCCCGGGGGGTTGCTCGAACCCGCTTCCTGAGGGTTCCCCGGCGGCGGTGGCGGCGGCGGTGACTGCTACTGCTCCAGCACTGGGCGCTCGGCGTGGCG